GAGTAGTGATCTCATAAAATGGTTGCAAGAACTTGCAAATCCCTCGCCCCATACCCATTCTTCATTTGAAGGACAACTTTTATATTGGGATCTATCAGTGCCAAATGAACAAACACACGACGGTATATTAACGCACTTTCAAGCATTAAATAAGTGGAATTCCATCTCGTGGAACATCAGTTTGTAATCCTTTTGAGCTTATTACACCAATTTGTTTGACAAGTTCTCCAAACTTCATTCTTTTAGCCTCACTTCTTTAACATATTCACACTTTCACGAATTTTTGCAAAGCCACGCTACTCACCTTTAACCCTTCTTGGACTATCAGATTCAAGATATGTGCACAACATCGCACATGAAAAAAAGAACCATCACATAATAAAACATTTTGCAGACAAAGTTGATCCTTAAATGTTCTTCCTTTTATCATTGTTACTTGCATTGTCTAATGTAAGAGGAAGGCTTTCTTTTCAATCCCCCAATCTTTTAAGAAATCATCACTATGTCTGACAAAAGAGCCCCTGAGTGTGGAGGAGGAATATGGCTAAAATTCAGAATTCACTCTGTAACTCCCAGTTCTCATCACATAGTGAGCCGTTAAAGATATACCCATCAGTAGTACAAGAACTCCAAATATCAGAAGTCAAGCATATTCTACCCGAAACCCTCTCTAAAGCAAGCTAATCCTTTCCTTCTCCCTGTAATATATCTTTAAGCAGTCTGCCTTAGCGTGGTTCCTAGTTAATGCTTAACTTCATGATTCAAATACATATGGACATCCCTAATTCCTTCATGCTACACTATTGAATAGGGGTAATTATGTTTATGATTCCTATTGCCATCTTCTCACGATAAATTTCTTGAGAAATCTTCAAACGTCTCAATTTAGTGTCACAATCCATCATCATTTGATCTACACTAGTAGTAATGGTACGTTTAGACAACCTTCCATATGGCGCCTCATATTCTTAGTCCCATAGCTGAACTACCATGTGCATAAGACTTACCACAATCGTACACTTTACCCTCACTTCCCCATTATCTTCTGTATATGTTGTAAATTGACCCCAAACATCTGAACTTTACGTCTTTTTGGACAAATAGTACTACCATGAAGGAAGTTGACCTACGGCTACATTCACCCATTCCTAAATCTGTAGAGTTCCTCCATACCAAGCCAATCTAAAGGACACAACAAAGTATTACATTTAAATTAATTAACCAATCATAATTCTAACAATTCGTCAAAAAATAAAAACACTCCCATATATTTTACAAGCAAACCAGCCCTACCAAATGACTGGATTTTTCCAACTCAACAATCAACACCCCTCAACTCCATAAGTATAACCTTATAATTCATAACAATTCATCCCAAAAAAAAAAAATTAATAAAGATTTAAACATGATTACTTACTAATAATCTAATATTTTGGTGCACCAATCAGAAAATAGAAAATATATTGATATAATATTTAAAAAAAAAATTGTCAAATAATAAAAAATATTCTAATAATCACGTTGGATTTAATGTATTACTTTGTCCAACTTTTAAGGAGATACCCTAATTAAACTATAACCATTTGGGTTCCGAGTGTTAATTACTTCATTTCTTATCAAATTTATTGTAAAATGGGGCCCCTTCTTCTATTTTACCTCCAATCTTTTGGATCTAATTTTAAATTAAATTAGACCAACTAATGATAGAGTTCAAGTGTCCAAGGAGAAAATGTAATAATAATCTAATATGAAAATGTAAACACAGCATCTAAAGCCTTAATTTGGCATCTTCTTGATTGAAACAATATGATATGTTAATAAATACATTGTTTAAGTAGTTGATGCACATGTACTCTATTATTAATACAAGTAAAAGGGTGGCTTTAAGTTTAAAGATATATTAATATTTGGTTTCATTTATTATTTTAATTAATTCATTCATTTTTTTTAAATGTTTAAATAACTACTGATCTAAAATGATTTAAAGAAATTAAGAAAGTCTCCTCTGAGTGTTTGTTATACAAAAGAGAATGCAATTCTTGAACGTCTATCATGTTTTATGGTCATTTGAGGAAATCACAAATCACTTGCTATCCTTCTGTTTAATGTCTATTAAACCAAGGGTACATTTACTAACAAAATAGTCCTTCAACTTAATTGACGGTGCAAACCTTAACAAAATAGTCAAACAAATAAATGAACTGACCAAATCAATAAATGAGCTGAAAGTCTAAACCACAACCACCACCCACTCACCTAGTAACAGACTGTTACGAAAACAAATATTCAATTCAACTACAAAATATTTAAAGGTCCTGCCCACCTGCTGTGCTGCTGCTGCCAGAGGAGACTGCTGCTGCTGTGCTGGTGCTGCCATGATTGAGATCTGCTGCTGCCGTGACCTGCGGATCTGCTGCTGTGCTGGTGCTGCCGTGAGAGGAGACTGCTGCTGCCGTGCTGGTGCTGCCGTGAGTGAGACTTGCTGCTGCCGTGACCTGCTCCGGCTCCGTGACCTGCTCTGCCGTTAGAGAAGTCAAGAATGAGGGATCGTGGAGCTGCTGTGAGAGTGAGAGAGTGAGGGAGTGGAGCTGCTGTGAGAGGACTGGAGCAGTGGAGGTTGTGGAGCTGCTGTGGAGGAGAATGGCTGCGTTTTTTTTCTTTTCTCTAATAAGTTTTGCTATTTTACTTTAGATTAGGGTTTGAGTTGAGTGAGATGTGAGACAGTGTCACAGTGAGAGGACGAGACAAGTCATTCTGATTCAGCAGTTTTTTTTTTTTTAAATTTTGAATTTGCGGGTCAGCGGGTACCCGCGGGTAGTACCCGGTCCACCCGTAAAAGTTACGGGCGGGCCGGGTACGGGTTAATTTTTTACGGGTCGAGATATGTATTATCCGTACCCGCCCGTTGGGTACGGGTACCCGTTGACCCGCGGGTACACCCGCCCGTTTGCCAGGTCTGCATATACAGATAACATAATCAAAGTATATATATATATCAGAAAGTAATGAATTACGTTATGCATTTGAAAATGTGTATCTCATGGAAATAAAAAGGGGCTACCGAATATTTAAAATGCAATACTCAAAACTCAACTTACTGCAGATGTAAAATTTTCTTCTCCCACTACACATTTTCTTCGTTTAACTAGTTATCAACAATGTCAATTCATCTCCACCCGAATAAAACAACACTTCCAAGCATTTTGACAATTACAAAACTTTGCCAAAATCAATATTTCAACAAGTCAAAGGCAAGATCTACCAATAACCATATTTAAAACAAGCATAATTTCAAAAGCAATTGATATAGGGAACCATGATTTTGACATGCAAGACTTGAAACTCAAATTTCTTTTATAAAAGATTTTAATGTTTTATCCACTCACCAAATCAAATTATAATTTCAATGGGACACCCTAGATAAATATATGTTGATCCAGTAATATTTTTAAGTCATTTCAGAATCAAAACTATTTAAAACATGATTTATTTTCAACCTCTCAAAACTGCCAAACTCTTTTCTAGAATTGATGTTGCTGACTTTTAAAATCCATATCAATTCACCCTTAACTTGAAAAATCCTAAAACTTTCCAAATTAAACAAGACACATGAATAATTTATCACTATTTAAAATCACTCATTTTGGACGAGTATAAATGCATTATTTCAGTTCTAAAAAAATGCATGTTCTACAGAAAACATGAAATTCTAGAATTTCATAGTAGAATTCAAAATTCATAAAAAAAATCCAATACTTCGAATTTTGGGGTGAAATAAAATTTCAAACAATCTCTAATAAGTCTAAAACAAAATATCTGAAATTTAGCTTCATTTGCATACCCAAAACATATATAAAATTTTCACAAGTCAAGGCTGTCAGAATTTCGCAGCATAACTTTTTATAACCAAAAACATACTTTAATAACTCTTGGTTCTTTAGGATCAACATATATGCTCTACCCATATAAAACTATTGCATTAAATCTCCAATTTCAGTTAACCACAATAGTCAGCCACCATATCCAACATACAATTTCTCATAATTTCTTTTCTATTCACAGACATTATGCAGATGCATAAAATGCACACATGCATGCCAGGTTCAACATTTCTAATTCTGCCCATTTTATAACCTTTCTCCGTCTACTCTTCAAATAAACAACATCCACAACTCATCTCTGTGGTACAAATAATATTCCAAATAATCAATTTAAACATAACTTTTAAACGCTTGAAACAATAAACATCAAGTAACATGCAACTTGAACAATGCAAACTTTAGAAAATGATTTAATGCATTTTCCACTCACCCTTTTTAGGCTAAGTCGAAAGTGCAAAGACAACCTCAAGATTCCCCTTCCTCCACACCTAACGCCCAAAAGACAAGAAATTAATCTAAGCCAAGGTCTAAATTTAAGAAAGGGAGAAGAGATCCACCGATCCAATCACATGCACGCTTACTAAAAGACAAAAGCAAACCACCTCTCTCAATTTTTTTTTTTCCTAAATCGGCAACTTACCCGATCTCTCTCTCATTCTTGTCCCTTCTTCCTTCTTCCTCTTTTTCTTCTCTTCCTCTCTCACTCTACCTCTAGGCCGAACCCACTCTTCCTTCTCCTCTCTTTTTTTTTTTTTCCTTTTCCTTCTCTTCTTCTTCCTTTCTCCTCTTTCCTTTCTTCTTTCTTTTCTCACAGTCTCCTTCTTCCTTCATCTGGGCGAAAATCAGCCTCCCTCTTTTTTTATTTTTTATTTTTAATCTTTCTAAAATTATGCTTCTGCCCCTAGTTACAGATAATCCCGCTAAACCCCTGCCACATCAGCTTTTCCCTCCAAAAAACCTCCAGATTTTGCCCCTTGTTAGTGCAAAACCAGCAGCTTCCTTTTCTTGCAATTTCATTCCCAATAAGACTTTTAAAAACTAACAGAAATCCCCTTCCATAAAAATAAAATCACAAAGAATACGTAATATCTATTAGGATTAAAAAAAAGGGGTTTCACAGTGATTGTGAGGTAAATTGTCCTGTTCTGTATCCCCTCTCCCACTCTACACAGATATACATGCATACATACCATTGATTCATTTTAATTTGCAACTATTTATTTCAGTAATATCCAGCAATTACTACAGCTAATATCTTTTGTTTTGGTTGTAACTTTCATTTGATCTGCAGCCGCTGTACTGAGCGTGTCTTTTGACAGCACCAGTGGCAAACTCTTAGAACAAAGCTTGCAACTTGGAGGGTAAGAATTCCCACCAGTAATGCTATATGTTTTAACTTTTTTTCATTCAGCTACGCAGGCCCTCTAATTTTTCTATTGTTAGGAAGAAAAAATGATAATTTATAAATATGTTGCCTCATATTTCGGACCTGAATGTTAAATGTTTGAAATAGAAATTTGACTTGTCATTTACTTTTATATTAATTCAAAGCTGTCATGTTGAGCAACTAATGTTGTATTTCACTGGACTTATTTTACCACGTTGGTTTTCTTTTCCTGTGTCAGTATTCAATAGAATTGATAGGAAAATCTCTAGAATGTTTCTATATTTTTATTGTTTTATTTTACTTAAGTGGGCTGTTTTTATTTTTATATTCAAAAATTAAGTTTTTTCCTTCTTTTGTTCTTATTTCCAGGGTAATATTGCAAACGTAATCAGCACTATTCAAACGAACAAGGTAACTGAAGAAGCGTCACAAGGAGTGCAAGGTTTAATGACTCGCTAGGCTGCTTTTTTATGTCGGATTTTTGATGGCCCCTGTTATTTAGAGATAGGTCAGACTATCATGTGCTGCTGAAGTATCATACTGAAATTTTTATTTATTGAACATTAATTTTAGTGTATTGGAAAATTTTGACAGAATGAGTCAATCATATTTTGTTTATCATGCCTACCTTAACTGGTTATGTTGTTTAAACTAGCAGAACCTGATATGGGTCCAAATTTTCATCTCTCTTTTTTTGCTCCATTTACGTACTTTTATAATTTGTTAACTTAGTTCTTTTGTTATTATTTTAATGAAACAAGAGGCTCGAGCTTGTTCAAAATCATCATTTAAGGCCATGAGAAATTGATTCAACCTTAACTTAACACGATAGTCATCAAACAGTTTTACATCAATTGCACATGTCCATTCAGGTTCTGATAAAGCAATTTGGATTGGGTCTTATGGGTTTGTGCTTAGGCTGAATGGTTGGACATAAAACAAAAGAAATCACTCCAAAGTGTACCTTCAAGTCTTCAATGCTAGAAATAGCAATGTTTTCTAGCAATTATGTACTTTTTCTGTGTAATTGCGTGCTTACGATAATTTAATTAAATTTATGTAGTATACAGAGCTAGAGAAACAAAAGATATAATTCATTCATCTCCTATTAGAGATACTAATAAACATCAGTTCGGTAGACGGGACCTATTGCGAGCATATAGAACCTATTTGCGAGCTAACCAATTATAAACTATCACGTCGGGCTGTGAGAAAAAGTTTATAAGATTAGTTTGTAAGGGTAGTATTTCCCAGAGATATAGTATCAAATCAAACTTAGTATTTTTAATGGACATGTATATATATACCAGGTAACAATTGATAGAATTTGAGGTGAGTTTGACTCCTCACCCAATAAGGTCTTGTTGAATGAGAGGATTATTCCCTTTTATAACCTAATAGGCTTGAGCATGTCTAGTCAATGTGGGACTCCAACACTCCCTCTCGCGGTCAAGCCCATATGTTGGGTTATGCCTGTTAATGGAGGTAGTTGCTGGCTCTAACTCCTCACCCACTGGTCAAGCGCTCAGCTTAACTGAACTTGGTCTCTGATACCATGATAGAATTTGAGGTGGGTTTGACTCCTCACCCAATAAGGTCTTATTAAATGGGAGGATTATCCCTTCTTATAACCCAATAAGGTCTTATTAAATGCAAAGTTGACTTGATTTAAATTTTGGGTGACTTTAGCTTAGGCTAAATCTGATCAAAATTATGAAAATTTATATTATAATCTTTGCAAGCCAAAAATTAAAAAAAAAAAAAATGGTTTTACTTAAGGTTTACTCAAAATTTTGTTTCTCACAAATTTATTCAAGTAGGAAAGTATTGTGTTATTACATTCTTTTCTTTTGTGCTCTTGATATTGTAATTTTTTTTTTTTTTTTTTTTGCTTATGGTTTGGTTTTTTTTTTTTTTTTTAAGTTTTTACTAGTTATTTAGTAAACAATGATGGAACCGTGGAGGCCCTCCCTCATAAAAAATCTTAGATCCGCCACTGCCACCATTGAAGTTAATTATTTCATAATAAAAGAAGTATATACTTTGGCACACATAAAATAGCGTAAAGGCCAATGCGTATATACATAAAAGACTACAAATGAATTGGGGACCCCTGTTTATTATTCTATTACAAAATTTCAAGGATTTTCATTCGTTCTTCTCCGGCCGGAGAAGAATTTTTGTAATACAACAAAAGAATAAAGACATGAAGGAAGAAGAGAATTTTCTTCGGTTAATATAATACAAGAAATATAAATCATATTTATTCTTTTTATATACACACAATTATAAGAATCGAAACTTATTTTAAAACAAATCCCACTAAACATGAATGTGTTAAGAGTAACAAGCTCAAGCTCTACAGACAAGTCAGCAGCTGCCAAGCTGGAGAATATTAGTTAGTGTTGGAGATGTCAACCACTTCAAAAATAAGGGGCGAGATAGATGTATACGAGAGTGTGATAGCAAATTATAGGTAAATACATCCATTGTAATGAGAGAGGTGAAGAGATGTTTTAATAATATTGACGCTATTAAATGTAGCCGGATTTTGGTAAACTAAAGTAAATAGCATGTATGCTTTCCCTTGACTGTTTACATTATTTGTTTGTGATTGTTTATTTGTTGGTTTCAGTTACTCTCTAGATTGTTTCATTTGTTAAATCTGCTAAGTTGAATAGATTTAACAAATGAAATGTATTGAAACACATGTATGTATAGGAACCCTAAACCTTAGTATCTAAAACTCACCAAGTCATGTTAACTGGATGTGTATGTGGAAGGTTTCGAAATTAGAGCGAACCAGAGAGATGGAAAGACAGAATATATAATAATGCTTAGAAAAGTTAGAGGTTAACTGCCAAACTCAACAAGGAATGACCAGAGGTACTGAGCTAGCTTTTTTGTTTTTTAAATTAGACTTTACATTGGTTTTTTGATGGACCTGAGTCTACAGTAACGGATTAGGATGAGAAACTCTTAACGTGGGCTTGGGCCTGAAAGGAAATGACTTCATTGGGTCAACAAAGGGGCTGCTAAAGGTATTTGTTGACGTATCCCCTTGGATACTTACTATTTTTTTCCCACAAAGTGTTAGGAGGGTAGTGTAGAAATCATTAATCTGCTCTCAAAGAAGAAAAAAATGTTTCTGCTTTATCAATGATAAACTTCATGTGGGTCCAAGACTATTTTGATTTATTTAAACCCATGTATATTGCTAGCTTACTATTATAACCTTTAGCCGTATTTGGTGTCAAATCAGCTCATGTTTAAGGTCATGACCATACTTCATTGTAAGAAGGGAGGAAAGGTTTTTTAACAGTTAAATGTGAGCTCAAGAGGTCGTGATATTTGGCCTTTTAGGGTTTTGTTTGACAATACCCATAAAACCCTTAATCTAAGTCAAGTTGGAAAGTTCACAGATGGACAAGAAAATTAAAGTTACCATCAACGTCGAACCATTCAAGCAAGATAATTAAACTTTAACGTTTATGCAGAAGACTTTGAATGCCGTCAAAGACTTCTACAAGTGGAGTCACGGATTGATAGTTCTCGATGCTAGTCTGCTACCAAATGCCTTTACAAATGCTAGTTTGCTACATATATTTTAAGTTTCCACTAATAATTTTTATAATTACTAAACATATTGTAAATAGTGAACCTCCACAGTTTACCTAGTGGTGGAGGAAACCTAAAGTAGTGAGACCGGAGCAAATATTATCTACTTACTTTACCTTTCTTGGGTTATTATACTAAAAAATTACAATACGTTATCAATATGAAGAGCTTAACAAGTATAACGCTTACACCCTTATTGAAAGTACGTACTTTGATCCTACATAATGTTACCGTAGAGAGACGGTTGATGTGATTAGTATCCGTTTTTGAAAAGTAAGATAGCGGCGAAGTGCTTGAAGAAACTTGCGGAGGTGGCAATGAGTTGCTTGGATGATAAAAGCACAAGACGGCCAGCAATGAGTGACGTGGTGTGGGGTCTTGACTCTTGAGTTTGCATTGCAATTACAGGAGACGACAGAGAAGCATGAGAAGTTTTGGGATGATGAGGAGGATAGAAAGATGGGCGAGGTTGATGATGAAGAGATACGTTTGATGAAATATGAATCGGATGTTGATAGCGGGCGTTTGTTCAGTAGCATTGGAGAATATGTGTTGGATTCAAAGAGCATTAGTATGGTGACACTAACAACCAGTGATGATCAAAGCTTTTCTACTTAAAGTTCTAATAGTAGACACGTTTCAAGGGTTGTCTTCTCCGAAATCATTAACCCACAAGGGCGATAAGTTAGATTGAAAGTCTCTTCGTTCTGTGTTGATTAATAGAGGTTATATTTTCACTAGTTTGTTGTTTATTTTCCCTCCGGGAATTTAGAATCAATCTGAATCAGATTCGTTTATGTTGAAGGTAGTTTTTGTGTTTTCTAGCCATCATGTAAAAGATAATAATTTGGAATATATATATATAATTGAATGCTTTATTTCTGAGTAAGTTCAACTTGACCGTACCCTTTCTCCTAACCCTTAGATGGCTTTGATGCTCGACCTCTTTCATTCCCTCTACTCTAACCTAACCTGCTCTAGCTATCGCGCAATAAATATTTAGCTAATTATTTCAACTTGCTCAAGTCTTTCGCTCTTACGCTCCTCCTTTTATATAATCATTTTCCTGGCTATCTCGGTAGTGGGTTAAAAGGGCTCTTTCTGTTCTTAGTTCCGAGTTGCCTTCTTGCTCTCTAGATTCCGCTTCGGGAAGAGCGGACTGTAAAGCCTAAACCCGATTCCTTTTCTGATCGAGTTATAGAGTTGGGTAGTTAAAAGAGTGAGGGTAGTTATTGAATTCTTTCTTTCCCTCATTCCGCTCTACCTTTCATTTGGTACACGTAGCTCTTTCTTCAAACTCACTTTATATACTGGACTCGTTCTTTAACTCGCTTATTTTCATTCTTCCTTTCAGTTGAGAACCTTACCAAATAAACATTCTAAGTCAGAGCAGAAACTCATTAACTCAGGTATAGCAGCTAGAACTAATGACAAAAGGGGAGTTTTCAAGGACCCTATATCGCAAGGCTTTCGAAACGGAGGTTTTTTTGTCCTAGTCTAACCGCTTTATCATGACTTTTTCTTTCTTAAATGCCCCTCTATCGTCCTCCTATAATATAGCCATTTTTTAGTTGAGCTTAGCCCCATCCTCTGATCCTTCTTTCTGGGCCTTGGAAGTGGAGCTCAGAAAGGAGCCCCAAACCCTAGAACAACATATTCCACCACGTCTAGGTATATATTAAATGAATCACTCGAAAGTAATTTCACCGCACTGTGGTAATTGAAATAATATATATGTGTGTGTGTGTGTGTGTGTGTGTTTTATGTAATTGAATGTTTTATTTCTGAGTACCGATTAGTTAATTAAATTTATAAAGTTAATACATGGTGATAATATTTTTTAACAACAATCCCATTTATTAAACATTAGCAAAGGTCACGATTGGTTTGTGAATTAAAAATGCATGGAATCAAAGTATTATGAATGAAAATCAAAGTCAATGGAATCAAAGTATTATGAATGAGTAGAGTAGGATTACATTGTTTGGTCGTAGTTATAAATTTTGATGGAATTAAATTTTTGTTTTTTTACGAAAATACCCTCAATATTTTTTTTAAA